TTCTCACCTGGTTACACTTGGCCTTAGCAGGTTGGCCACAGTGAACTGTCTTCATGCCTACCACAGCAAGACCTGGAAACTTGGGGCTCTCAGTAGTGTCTCTTCACCCAGTGGAACTGAGAATAGAATCTTTGTCCTTCTACTACAGATGGTCAAAAGACTGGAGTGTGCCAGCAATCTGAGAAGAGGCCAAACTTATTTTAATTACAAATTTCTCCATCAATCCACATTTATCTCTTTGTACCTGTAATTCATACAACAGACAACTTAATATACACTGTTTAAATAACCATCCAAACCTTTCCTGCTTTCGCACTCTCCACCTTTCTCTCGAAAGCCTGTACGTTTGTAGGGATTTATAACTGCAAGTGCCTGAAGTCAAGTTTCAGTTCTAGCAAATGTGGAGTAGGACAAGCTGATCAGACATTGGAACAACAAAGACAGGAGGATTAAGGCAGTCTGCAGAGTTGAAAGTATAAAGAGATCTTGGGGGAAAATAGCTTGAGAGGAGCCTTTTAAAAATCAAACAGAAAAACTCTCCTCATTGGTTCTTACTCCTTTTAAAAAAAATTTTAGCATCATGGGCAAGGAGTTTTATACATCAAGTTACATTTTAGATTCTAAATAAAAAAAGAAGAAGAAGAAATTAAGAGGCAACCAGGTTCATAATCCTTCAGCAGTTTCCCCAAAGTTACTTAGCATTGTTGTCAACTAGAAAAAAAACTTAATTTGAGAACATATTCCAAGGAAAACACACAAAACTGGAAGGAAACCCATGTGCCCATGTGGAAATACTTAGGGTTTTTTTCCTATATTGAACTTGTCTGTGCATTCATAGAGAACTTATGACATATTTCCTGGTTATGTATACACTTTTTTTGTTCAACAATGCCAAAAAGTGATAACTTGGAGACTGAGAATTAGACTGACAGTCACCTGTCATTCATTGTCCTTTATTCTGACAACCTCAGGCATTCAGGCATGGATTTATGGGTATTTCCCCCCTTTCACTTTATTTTTAAAGGGGCTGGGGGATGGGGAAGAATATCAGAGGATTCAGTCCTGAATAGACTTTTGTTTTGCTCTTTCTTTTACCTCTTGACTGTGTCAAATGCAGTGTGTCTCTCATGCAGTTTCTCTCTTTAGAGAGCCTTGGCTGGGCCAGCTAGTTAGTATTCAGAGACAAGGCAAAGAGGATAAAATTCTTCTCTCTGCTTGCTGAGACTGCAAATAAGCAATTAGACTAAAAGCAACGTATTGGAGATAGAAGGCCATTGCAGACATCATTGTTGACTGGAACCTGCCAATATAACTTTAAAATTGTAAAACCTTCATAGCAGGGAGAAATAGTCACTTAGAGGCACATAAGTTGGTTAAGACACTAAGTCAGTATTTGCTACAGACATTTCTGCTGTGTAATGTACTCAGTGAACTGTAAGATTTTCCATTTAATCTTGTTTACTTATTGTAATGAGAAACAAATGGGTGAAATTAGCAATGGTGGTAGAAAATTCAACCTTTTATTGTATTGCATGTTATGGAAACATTTTCTAGATTGGCATGTTACTCCCATTTTCATTTGAGCTCACTTTAAAGGATTGTAACGGAGGGCTGAAGGTTACAAACTGTTTTATGTCTGACCAAGCAATATCATGTAGCTCTGCTGCATAGTTAGCTAAGAGGTTTAAAACAATATATGCCAGCCATTTTGTGGTTATCAGTAATGGTACGTGAGCTAGTTTTTAAAAGCCTTCTTCCTCTCTTCTTTAATATAGATATTTTATGCTGGGTTCTAGCAATTGATGCACTTTCTTTGCAATGCTCAAATTCATTTACTCTGTTAGCGAGGCTGAGATTACCTAATTCTATTTTGTAATAAATAGATCAATCTCCAGAAAGCCTTCAAGATTGCCCAAGTGATGGGAGGTGGCAACAAGACCTTCTTGATTTGATATCCATCCCTTTTCCTATTCCCACCCCCATCCTTCCAAACCACGTTTCCCAAAAGTTGAGAAATGCAAGCCTGATGAATTTATTTTTACACATTCTAAGCCAGGAAAAAGAAAGGAATCTGGATTATTGACATTCTTTACCGGAACTACAGTAGACTAGAGTTAGCAGAAAAAACTGCTAATCATCACAGTTTTCGTGTTGGAAGCAATTTGCCTATAATTAGTAAGTTGATAAATACCAACAAAATGGGTGCTAAAACGAACAACTCTTGTGCTGAGAGACATTTGACTCTACATTGCACTTTGCATTTTTATATATGCAGCATTACATTTTGTTACAAAGAGCGACAACTTTAGTGGCAGCTGAAGCGCTCTAATCTGTCTTCTGAAGAAAAGCAGACATACATCTTAATATAACAACTTCTTTTATAAAATATATCTGTTTTTTTGAGGAGTAAGCAATGGATGGATAAGAAAAGAAGTTAGTCTCTTATTTATTTTATATAAAATGGTAGCAGAAGATAGAGGACTTGTTTTGCTAGATAATGAAATGCCATAACATGTAAAATTAAATGATGCAAGTGACTTAGGGTGTATTCTTCATTCGTAATACCAAAGTCACATTTGTTTGTAGATATTTGTGTTCTGCATTTCATATAAAAATGGCTATTTTACTAAATGTTTCAACTCCATATAAAATCAGACCTATGGCCATTTTCATTCAAGTTAAACAAGGAAATGCATATGGGATAATAAAAAGTGAAACACATGATTCATTCAAATAAACAAGGTATGATATATTTTATCTTTAAGATCAAACATATTTATATGCCTGAAATGTTTTAATAAACACTAGATTTTCTAAGTATCTATTATAGGTGCATTATATATAATAAATAAGGGAGCACAATGGCTTTATCAGTGGTAAACTGAAATTCTAGTTGTTTCATAGTTATCAGAAAACATAATATTCCAAATTCAATCTATAAAATCTGATAGAATAAAAGAGATTATCCTAAGAAAGAAATAGTGAGGGTAGGGTACAAATAAACTTCTTTCAGTGAATGTGATTGAGAAAAATACTATATTTTTCTATTGCTTTTTAAAATGATAACTGATATTTATAGACAAAATTTTAAAAGCATCTTATCTATTCCCGCTTTACAGGTAACTTGATTAGCACATGTGGGGTATCAGAGAACTTGTAGTGTCTTCATATACAAACCATGTGGTAAATGGATTAATAACTTCTTATCAAATACCTTCTAATATATTTTTTAATAATTTTAATACATTTGATTAATTTTTTTCCTTTCTCATTAAACAGTACTTCTCTGGTATTTCCAAGTACTAGATGAGACAGTAAAAATTGATCACAGGCCAAGTACATGCACATTTTTCTCCCCTTCTTCAGAATCTTCTGTAGTGGGTGGTAAAATATTTAAGCCATATCAAAGTCATGTAAACTATCCCAAATATGTTAGGGGAAAAAGAAGAAGCTGCAATTCATTATTTTCCTGCAATAAATCCAAAAAAAATAGAACATTTAAAGAACCAACTAGATTTGTTTTCATTTACATTTCACATCAATGATTTCATACCATAAGCACTTCATTTATTTAAGATATAATATATTTTTGATAAGTAAAAGATTTATTATTATAAAATAAAAAGGTAAAAATTTTGAGAAAATATATGTTGCAGTTATTTGTCAATGTACATTCTATCCCATTTATTATTATTATTATTTATCCTCATTGAAACTTGGGCTTCAATACATAATGCTTTTAATGATGATTTATTTATAAGATCAAATCAAAATTCATTTTGCACATGTAAATTCTTCACGGTATGATATTTTGTTAACAAAACAAATATTTTTAATTTTTAACTCCTTTGGAAAAATCTTGCTTTTACCTATTTTCCAAGATCAAGAACAACATATTAATATTTGCATACAGTATAAGATTAAAGTGTGAAGCTATGCAACTTTGATCTGGTCAATTTTGCTGCCATTTTGTTGCCAATATTATCTAATGTATTATAGGTCTTTTTCTTGCAACATATGACTCCATTTAAGAGATTATAATAATTTGCAAGTGCCATATAACCTATTATTGTGGAATATTTCTTTCTTTCTAAAATAAAGTTGCATAGAGTGAGCTGCAAGAGCTGTTCTTTGTGCTTGGTTTATTCCCAACCTTTTTTGCCATTTAAAAACAATGCTGACACATGCATGAAATGACAAATAGCATTAGTGTAATAAAGGAGTTAAACCAAACCCAAAGCTCAGTCATATATTAAATTGTTTTAAAAAACACTGACCTAAGCACCTCTATGAGATGTTATACGTAAAATCTGAAGAAGGAAAAAGACATTTGGAAGTGAGATGTGTTCTCCTTTGTAGCCTATATAATTGCTGATTTGCCATCATGTTTGCTTGAGATGCCTTTGTCAGACATTATTTCATGTGTTTTTGTCAAAAGGGAGGTTTTGAAGCCTTTTTTCTCCATCTGGGCGACTGCTGTCAGGGCTCAGACCAAGCCTTTCAGGGCTACAGCAATGTGTCCAGAAAGCTTTTGGTAAAAGCCTTTTAAGCAGTCCCTCATCCCTACTCACCAGATCAACACATATGTTTTACCAAAGGAAAAATTCTAACATTTCAACATAAGTTTCCAACAACAGAACTGTAGCTTAGTGACTATCTTTCATTAAGACCCAGAGTTGAATAACTCTTGCCCACTCCCATACAGAATGAAATCTAATACAACTGTTATGTCATCTTCCTTGGTAAGTGGTGATTTTCTAGAATTTGATGATTTATAAGACTTTTATAAAAATGATTGTCATTTTAAGTAGATGCTTTCCAGCACATAGACAGTCTGTATAGAGTAAGATGGAGCAAAAAGAAGTTTGTTTTTCATTTATTTACTTCTTTCAGAGAAGTTAAGTAAAAAGTATATAGTAAAGCTTTTCATATTAGCAACCAAAAAACAGGAAAAGAAATAATCGTAGAACATACGATAATAGAACTATTTTCTGCACAGATCCAACTATGTGGAGAACTATTCAATTAGGACCCACGGTTACTTTTAATGAGGGTTGTTGTGGAATAAGTGGAAACATCTGTTACCCATGAACCACCACAGTGGCTACACAAGAAAAAGCAGTTCTCTCTTCTATTGATTGGGACTGGTCTTTACGGAATATTCTTATTAGTATGCTTAGAACAACCATGCAAATCTCTAAGCCAAATTAATTATTCTTGGCATTCCCAAGAGACGATCCTACAGTCATTTTTTACCAAAGGCAGGGAGCAGGAGAACCCTTTCTCTGTACATATTTTATTACTGTTAGCAATGCCTAATTGTCCTACTATACGTTGCCCTATTTCACCAGCTATAGTCTGAATTCATTCCTATCCTCTCCTTAAAAGTTTGAAACCCCCTAGTGACAGGAATATTAATGTGCCAACACTGTCATATCTATTTCAGCTCATACATATGCAATGTCTTTGTTTTCAAAGATTTATGTCAGACTTTGCTGAAGTGAGGTATTCTACCATTTTAGATAATAGCATGCCAAAGTGATGTTATCAGCCACATTCAGCACTCACTCAAGCAAACAGGAGGAGCAACCATTCCTTCATGACTTCAACTCATAGAAACTGTTATTTATCCTTATTTGATGAGAAAATCTTTCAGGGGGAAATGGTGTATTTTTAGAAGAAGATTATGGCCATCCTGTGGATTATCTTTTAATTAAGAATGGATGATTTGTGCCCACTCTGCTGTAGCAAACGTCTTGCTGCTAATGAAGTTTAAAAAGACTTACTTTATTTAATTACAGCTAATCACCAGGGTAAAATGTGGACTTTTCTTTGATCCTACATGTATTGCGGTAATCCCTGTGGCAGAGAGCATCTCCTCAAAATGTTTTGAGTTTTCCAGCTGGTCACATCTTGACAAAAGGTGGAACCACCTTACATTGAAGAATTTCTTTCATTCTTTCTGTAGTTGCCTACCCTGGCATAAAAATCACATGAAATTTTCTTATAAGCTGAGATGGCCCTTTAGACAGAGAGTGTTGAAATTCTCAAATGTTTGGATCTTTCACTTTGTTCAATGCCCAGAACAGGGTTTTTTGCTCTCGTTTAATGATTCAATTCAACCAGCACTGTGCCAAGCACTGTTCTAGGCACTAGAAATGGAAGTAGGACGGGAACACATTGGGCCTACTCTAATCCAATCTTTAAAGATAAACTGTGATTGCTTTTCTACTATGTTTAGTCCATATGGACAAAAATAGATAACTATGCTTAAAAACCAGGAATTGTTTTGTCTTTGGTTTGGTTTGTTTTTAAAACATAAGATTAGAATTACTTACTAGAGCTGTATAACATAAAGCAGGACTATCTTCTTTATTTCTCTTCTGCCTCTTCCCTTTGGAAAGTGAAATGTAACTCCCATTTTCTGGACTTATTCTTTCCTGAATCTCAAAGAAAATTATTTTGAGACTATATATTAAACCAGCTTTCATTCCAGGTGATATCTGTCTATAATATTTCATCTTCGTAAACGTGGGACTTAATCGTTTCCACCAAAAGTGGAGTATAATTCTTTGGTATGCTTTCTAATACTCTTTCAAACATAAATTACATTTGTTTCCCCTCAAGTAAAAGCTCCTCCCCCAAATTAGTTAGTGTGCTTTATGTTATTAATTTCAAAGAGGTCATCCTGTTCTTTTTTTAAAAATTACCTTCTTTCTCCTTATTCTGTTTTTGTTCTGTAATCTTCAGTCCATGTGATCCAGTCAATGTTGGCTTGTTCCGAATAAAGGCCACGAAGGGCAAGGTCTCGCTGGCTCCCTCAGGGACAGAACGGAGCTGCTGGTAGAGAGCAAAGGGGACAGGGGACAGCAGCGACCCGAGTCAGGCAGAAGAGGGCACCAGCAAACTGACCTACTCCACTCTAACTCCTGGCACCCCCTTAGAGATGGGATCAAATACTATCTGAGCTGAATAGATGGGCTAGGGTTTTCTTTCGAAAACAAAATTTCCCTGGAAAATGAGTATGTCTAAACTAACCAGTCAAAATGAAAGAAATAAATGTCTCACTACACCTTGTCATAATTTTATAATTGGCTGTTTTCAAAAACACAATGAAAACCCAGCGATCTTCCCAAAAGAATTCTCACCAAGGAGGGGCAATTATTGAAAGATAAATAATTTCTTTTAAAACTATGTAAATTTTTTTATTAAATTGTTACTCTATGTATAACTTTAAAAAAAAAAAAGAAAAGTCATCTCGGCAGAACTATATGCTTCACATCTCCAAATGTGTTCTACTTTGTCTAACAAATTTGGGTTTCTGTGAGTTCTTTTGCTTTGCCAGAACTTAAGCAGATTTAAAGTAGGTTTGTTGTCAAATCAGTGTATGGGTCTCTATCTCACACCTAGGGTTCCATTATCACACAATAATGAGAACTCTCTTCCCACCACCTACATATAAATGCTTAAACACATCCCTCCCCTAGATATTTCCTACTGCCCACACCCGTGTAGTAATTTATATGCCACTTCACCCAGAACTCTCTGCATCCTAGTAGGAAGCATTTAGACTTACAAAGTGATTGAGGTTGGAGGAAGTTCTTCCAAAGTGCAATTCATGTATCTTAAAAAAAAAAAAAAAAATCAAACATAAAGTAGGAAAAGCAAAACAGAATTTGCGGTTAGTTCCTGTAATATGTTAAACATCTGCAGTTTTGTCTCCCCATCGAGATGCAGGGTTGTGCTGAAGTCACATCCTGATAACATCTGCACATTACTGATAGCTTTTGCTTTATTCTTTATGGTCTGCTGATGAGAGATTCTTTAACATCCCTTCAGTCATCAAGACCCCAGTTGGATTTCTTTGCTTGTGACAGCCTTAAAGGTGGTTTCATTTACATTTGCTAAAATGTCACAATATAGGAAGATATTTTCAGTTTGATGTTTCATCCCTTCCTTTTTTTATCCGGATGCTAGTTTTAGCTTTTCAAATGAATGTCGAACTCAAAATAGATTTTCCATGAAATATATTTTGTCTGATTTTTGAAACACCATGTCTGCAGCAGAAGACTTTTTTTTTTTTTTTCCAAAAAAAGTTTCCAACAAGGAATGGCACCTCTCTGCTTCTGCTTGCATTGTAACAACAGCCATCATTCCATGAAAGGGCTAGCTTGTTTAACATCCAGGAACACAGAATGTACAACTGTTTTAAAGGTCAGGTATTGACAGGATCTGAGCCGCTTTTGCTTCCCTAATGACCCCAATTACAACAGAGCTGAGTAAATAGTCAATAAACAGTGGCATTAACATATGTAGAAAAAGTGTTCGTTTTACATTTCCAAGACAATTAGCAATCCCCTGGCCTGTTCCAGGAGGACTTTGAGATCCTAGGGGTTTAAAAAAATGAGACCATGAAAAGTAACATAGGATATTTATGTAAATAACCTTAGGATATCCGAAAGCATTATTTACATTGCTGAATATGGATTTCTATCTTTATGTAGACAGCAAGTGGTCAATGGCAACACGCAAGATAACTTTAAAGAGCCCAATAAATGGTAAATTTCAAAAAGATTAATTGGTTTTAAGGATTAATATTCTTTACCATTTTAGTGGAGATTTTCCTTTTCCCACCAGGATTCTCATAGGGTTGAGGAAGATATTTCACGGACATTCTTTTTAAAGTTGAGATCATAAAACATGGTTTTTTCCATTTTGAAATATTTGGAGACATTTTATATATTGTATTGATTTCTAATGTAATTCTATTGTGGTTAAAGAATACACTCGGTAAGATTTCCTTTTCTTTTTTAAATTTGTTCTGATATTTTCTGGTCTATCCTATTGCCTATCTTGGTGGATCTTCCATATACTTGAAAAGAATGTATATTTTGCAGTGTTGGGTAAAATGTTCTATAAATGTTATTTAGGCCCGATGTGTTGATAGTACTGTTCAAATTTTCTCTATCTTTATTGATATTTTTTGTCTGGATTTTCTTTCAATTACTGAGAGTGAAATGTTAAAAATGCCTAAGTGGGATTGTGGATTTGATGATTTCTTGTTTACGTCACAGATTTTGAAACTTTTTTATTACACATATACACATTTAAAATATGTCTTCCTGATGAATTGACCCTTTTATCATTATGAAATGGCCTTTTTATTTCTGGCAATGGTCCTGTCTTGAGGTCTACTTTGTCTGATACTGCAATAACCATAACAGCTAGGAAATACAGATTTTTTTAAGTGTCTGGCTACATTTGTGGGTCAAATATTTAAGAAAGAGTGTGTCAGCTTACCTGTCAGCTTGCATTCCCATAAATATCAGCCACAGGAGAGAGTTTATCCTTTCTCATGGATAAGCTGTTGTCTTCTGAGACAGGAGCAACTAGGGAAAGAGAAATTAAGCTAAATGAATAAAATAAGATGTGACACAAAATAAATCAGAATATAATCCTTACTACTTAAGAAACCCATATTTGTAAATTTTGTAAGTATTTTAATATTTACTGAAATTTTGAACTCAATTATGAGCTGTAATATAATAAATCATTGAATAGTATCTCTGCAAAATTCATGTCCACCCAAAATGTCAGAGTGTGACCTTATTTAGAAATGGGGTTTTGTAGATGTAATTAAGTTAAAATGAGGTCATACTGGATTAGGGTGAGCCCTAAATCCAATGGCCAGTGTCCTTATACTACAGACACACAGAGACATGCACAGAAAAGAAGACCATGTGAATATGAAGACAGAGATTGGAGGGACCCACTACAAACCAAGGAACATCAAGGATTATTGGAAGCCACCAGAAGCTTGGAGAAGGGCAAGGAAGAATTCTTCCCTAGAGCACTTAGTTGGATCATGTCTCTGCCAACACCTTGATTTTGGACATCTAACCTCCAGAAGTGTGAGAAAATAAATGTCTGTTGTTTCAAGCCACCCAATTTGTTGTAATTTATTATAGCAGCCTTGTGAGCTCTCTGAAAATTGCCAAGAGTCATCTCAATTAACAAATATTCTATTGTATTGGTCAACTTCATCTGCCATAACCAAATATCATAGACTGGATGACTTAAACAATAGGAATTTATTTCCTACAGTTCTGGAGGCTGGGAAGTCCAAGATTAAAGTGCAAGTCAATTTGTTTCTCTGGTGAGGTTTCTCTTCCTGGCTTACAGACAGTAGACTTCTCACTGTGCCCTCACAAGATTGAAAGAGAGAGAACTCTGTTTCTCTTATCTTCTTATAGGGCCACTAATTCCATCACAGGGACTGTGCCCTCATGGCCTCATCTAAACCTAATTACCTCCTGAAAGTTTCACTTACAAATACTACAACATTGGGAGTTGGGGATTCAACATATGAACTTTGGAGGACAAGATTCATTTCATAACATCTGTCAATATAATTGTTTTAAGAAAAGTTTCATAGTTAAGCCAGAAAAAAGAAATCTTCATATACCGTGTGAACCTATTTGGTGAGGGTCATACTACTCACTACACCTGCCAGGCTATAAGTGGAGTCTGTTTCAGAGGGAAAACTTGCCTTGGAGCACATCGTCTACTTTCTGCAGCTGGAGATTAACAGGGTTTGTGCTAAGTACCAATTTGTTTGGGTACGGTTTTTTGGTGTTTTTTTGATTTTGTTTTTGGTATAGAATAAGCAAACGTTCAACAAGGTTGAGAGAGAGAGAGAGAGAGAGAGAGAGAGAAAGAGAGAGATCTTAATATATTGGGGAAGAAATGATCAAAAATACAATAGCATTTGATTTTCTCCACCCCCTCACTTTATATGACATTGTTCTTGCCTTTGAACTCACACAGAGAAAATTTTTATGGATTTTCTTTTTAAAAAAATTACTATACATTCTGTTCATACTCTTATAGGTTGGCCAGGGAAATGTATTACTTTATCTATCAGATGACCTTGACGGTATAAAATTATAATATTCACAGCAATACTAATACAATGCCAGCAAATTCCAGCAATCTCCTAATTCTGTAGAGAAAAATCCTTCAGAGTAGATTATCAAGGTAATACCTTCAGCACATGTGGAAAACAAACCTCAGGAGGGACCATCTCAGCCAAGTTCCCCAGTTTCTAGGAAACTCTGGCTCATCATGTGTATTTAAGGAACATAGCATATTTCTAGATATAACTTTGTTTTATCAATTTTTAATTATAACCGTAGAGAATTAAAAAGCAGTAATTGCCCACTAATGCTACAGCATGATGATTGATAATTTCAACATGGCATAACTCCCTGAATGATGAGAAAATGTGCAGAGACTACTGCCCTGTTTTATTTCAAATGCACTTTCTGTTACAGTATTTATCAAGTAAATCTTGCACTACAGTTTTGAGTATGTCTGTGTTAGCTATGCAGTCCACATGTCTTTGACTTTGTAAGCAACTGGATTCTTTTGGATTTTGCTATCATGTGAATAACTGAGATCTCCTAATACCAGAAGTTGCCAACTTCTATCACTTGATTTGGAAGTATAATAATTGGCATGCAAATTATTTCAAGGACCATTCTATCCTCAGAATCTATAACCTATATTAATGGGTCTGCCAAGACAGTCTAAATGTAACCTTGTAGACTAGAGTTTGATTGGGGATTAGTAATTCTGAACAAACCTACAGACATTCTGAAAGATAAATTACCTATGTGCTCTTTATTCTTTTATGAGAACAATTACGTCATATGCTCTAATTATTTTACTGTTAACTACGGTGACCTGTTCCGATCTAAATACAAATTATTTTTTTTCTCTCTAGGTTGTTGGCTTCAAACAAAATACTAGCAAGAGTCTGATGATGAATTCTCCCTGTTATTGCCTCCATAAATATTCTATTTATTATAATTTCAAAAGATTTAGGGGTATAGGTAGTTTTTTGTTACATGGATGAATTCTATAGTGATGAAATCTGGACTTTTAGTGTACCCATCACCCAAATAGTGTATCCATCACCCAAATAGTGTACATCATACCAGATAGATCATTTCTGATCCCTTGCCCACCCTACAATGTCCCCATTTCTGAGTCTCCAAAAATCCATTATACCATTATGTATGACCATGTATAACCTTTGTTTAGGCCCCATTTATAAGTGAGTACATGCAATATTTGTTTTTCTATTCCAGCTTCCAGTTCCATACAAGTTCCTACAAAAAGACATTATTTCATTATTTTTTTTCTTTTTGCAGTGTCTGACTTTCCATTTTCTCCTTTTTTTATTATTATTTCATAATATTATGGGGGTACAAATGTTTTGGTAATATAAATTGCTTTTGTACCATTTGAGTGAAAGTTATATGTGTGACCATCCCTTAGATAATGTACATGTACCTGTTAGGTGTGAATTTACCCATCCCCTCCTCCCCTTCCTACCTGCTTGATTTCTGATGATTGTTATTTCCATATGTGCACATAAGTATTGATTGATTGGTTCCAATTTAATGATATGCTCATATAGTGTGTGTTTTTCCATTCTTGTGTTACTTCACTTAGAAGAATAATATCATTATTTTATTTTTTATGGCTGAGTAGTATTCCAAGGGTTGTGTGTATATGTATGTATGTATGTATATGTACACACACACACACACACACACACGGGGTATGTATATATCATCTTTTCTTTATCCACTCATCACTTAATGGGCACTTAGGTTGATTCCACATATTCGCAGTTGTGAATTGTGTTGCAATAAACATGCTAGTGAATGTGGTTTTTTATATATATTGACTTCTTTTCTTTTACGTACATACCCAGTACTGGGATTGCTGCACTGAATGGTAGATCTACTTTTAGTTCTTCAAGAAATCTCCATACTGTTTTCCATAGAAGTTGTGCTAATTTATATTCCCAACAACAATGTATAGGTGTTTCATTTTCAGTGTAACCACAGCAACATCTATTATTTTTTGACTCTTTAATAATGACATTTGACAGGGATGAGGTGATATCTCACTGTGGTTTTAATTTGCATTTCCCTGATGATTAGTGATGTTGAGCATTTCTTCATATGTTTGTTGTCCATTTTATATCTTTTTTTGAAAAATGTCTGTTCATGTCTTTTCCCTACCTTTTAATGAGGTTATTTGTTTTATTCTTGCTGATTTGTTTGAATTCCTTGTGGATTTTGAATATTAGTCCTTTGTCAGATGTACAGTTTATGATTCTTTTTCCCCTTCTGTAGGTTTCTATTTACTCTGTTGATTATTTCCTTTGCTGTGCAGAAACTTTTAAGCTTAATAAAATACCATTTATTTATTTTTGTTTTTGTCGTATTTGCCTTTGGGGTCTTAGTAATAAATTCTTCACCTAGCCCAATGTCCTAGGAATGTAGAATATGTAGGAAAATCTTTTCATAAGTTTTTCTGTAGAATTTTTATGGTGTCAGGACTTACATTTCACTCTTTAATCCATCTTAAGTTGATTTTTGTGTATATTGAGAGATAGGGATCCAGTTTTATTCTTCTGTACATAGCTCTCCAATTTTCCAAGCACCATTTATTGAATACTGTACACCGGGGAGTGTACAGTTCTGCCTGCTTTGTTGAATTTTTGGTTTTATTTCATTCTGATCTGATCTTTGTTATTTCTTTTTTCTGGTAGATTTAAGGTTGGTATATTCTGATTTTTCTAATTCCCTGAGGTGTGGTATTAGGTTGCTAATTTGTGATCTTTCTGTCCTGTTGAAGTAGGCATTTATTGTTATGAATTTCCTTCTTAGCACTGCTTTTGCTGTATCCAAAAGATTTTGATAGCTTATGCTACCATTTTTATTCAGTTCAAAAAATTTTTTTATTTCCATCTTGATTTCCTCATTGACCCAAAGATTGTTCAGCAGCAGATTGTTTAATTTCCATGTATTTGTATAGTTTTGAAAGTTACTCTTGGAATTGATTTCTAGTGTCATTCCAATATGGTCTCAGAAGATACATGGTATGATTTTGATTTTTTAAAATTTGCTGAGACTTGTTTTGTGGCCTAACATATGGTCTATCTAAGAAAGTGTTCCATGTGCTGATGAGAAGAATATACATTCTGCAGTTTTGAGGTAGAATGATCTGTAAATGTCTGTTAGATCCATTTGTTCTAGAGTCTCATGTAAGGACTTTCTTTATTTTCCATCTCAAGGATCTGTCTAGTTCTGTTAGTGGAGTGTTGAAGTCCCCCACTATTACACTGCTGTTTTTTCCATTTCTTGGGTTTAGTAGTATTTGCTTTGTGAATCTTGAAGCTCCTGTGTTAGGTGATTATATATTTAGGATTGTTATATCTTCCTGTTAAATAGATCTCTTTATCTTTATATTAATATAATGACCATCTTTAGATATTTTTTACTGTTATAGACTTAAAGTCTGTTTTATC